GAGAATACCACTCGAAAATACTCCCTCTGTACTCGTTGACAATAATAACAAAATTATTGTAAATGAGCACGAAATAAGAAAAGAATGGCAGCTGTATATATCGGAGTTGTTTGAAGATGACAGGAATAATATTGCCGAATTCTACCAAAACTGTACTGACGGCCCAATTACGAAATGCACGCTATAAATAATGCTCAAATTAGAAAAGCTTCTGGTCCAGATGAAACACCAACTGAGTTGCTGAAACTAATAAAGAATGATAACATAAAAGTAGTAGTAAGACTTTAATAGATTGACTCAAATCCATCTTTATCGCAATACCCAAAAAACACAATGCGAGAAAATGCTCAGAATATCGATTAATTAGCCTAATGAGCCACACTCTTAAAATTCTTCTCAGAATACTTCACTACAGAATTAAACTCAAATGCGAAGAAGATCTTGAAGATATCCAATTTGGTTTTAGAAATGCTATGGAAACCAGGGAGGCACTTTTTGCGCTTAACATTGTATTACAAAAATGCCGTGACCAAAGAAAAGATGTATTTGCATGTTTCGTGAACTTCCAAAAGGCATTCGATAAAGTACAGCGTGTAAAATTAATGCAAATACTGACAAATATCGGAATAGATGACAAGGATATTCGTGTCATTAAAAATTTGTAGTATAATCAAACTGCTATCGTAAAAATTGGAGATAACTACACCGATAGAATCTCTATACAACGAGGAGTCAGACAAGTGGACGCTAAAAGTATAGATCATGAACAAAATTGAAGCATTGGAAATGTGGGTTCATAGACGAATGCTGAAGATATCTTGGACAGCAAGGTAAACTAATGAAGAAGTACTAAGGAGCGTCAAGAAAGATAGAGAACTGATAAAGACTGTTAAACATCGAAAAATGTCTTATCTGGGACATATAGTAAGTAAGGGGAAGTCGATATAAAATATTACAACTGATTCTTAAATGCAAAACAAAGGGGCCGTCGAGGTGTAGAAAGAAAACAAATTTCTTGGTTAAAAAACATTCGTGAATGGACTCAGATGCCAAATGCAAGACAATTATTCCATATTGCAGAATATCGTGAAGCCTTTGCAATGGTAATCGCCAATGTCGTATAATTCTGATACGGCACGCGAAGAAGAAGACCATTCGAGAAACTAACAAGGGTAGCCTTATACCATACGCCCAATAATCGACGAAGTATAACAATATTGAGGAAAAGCTGGAAAACACACAACATTTGAAAGCTGTGTAGTGCGTTAAAACGCTTCCTTGTATCAATTTATTTATTTTCCCTTTAGTTTTTTCCTAATCTTATGAAACAATAAATGTGTATTTCTGTGCGGTTCTTTCTTACAGAAGACTCATGAAAGAATAAGAAGTAATTGCGAAAGAGACCTAGATGAAACTCAGTTTAGATTGGAAATGCGGTGGGTACCCGTGAGGTAGTTTTTGGTTTAAATGTACTCCTCCAAAAATGTCGCCACCAACGTAAAGATATTTATGTGGCATTCATCGATTACGAAAAGGCTTTCGATATGGTACAGCATGTACGTATACATAAGACCTACGTATTATAGAAAACTTGTATTGGAAGCAAAAAAAGTCGTACGAATAGATGGGAGATTAACCGATGAAGGCTACATTCAAAGAGGCGTCAGACAGGGATGTATTCTATCCTCGCTGTTATTTAATATCTACTGGGATATAATTATCAAACAGGCTTTTCAAGATAAAAACGTTGGAGTGAAAATCAAGGGCGAACTGATTAATAATCTTAGATACGTTGACGATACTGTTATCTTATGCGATAGTCTCCAGGGTCCTCAAAAGTTTATGGATTGCGTAAACACGACAGTAAGAAATTGGTCTAAAAATAAATGCTTCTGAGATAAAATTTATGATATTTGGTCGAAAATCTCATGACATCGCTTCCTTACAGATAAATCAACAAAACATTGAGAGAGTTACTCACTTTAAATATCTGGGATGCTACATTACAGACCAACTAAACCCAAGTAACGAGACCAAATACAAATTTTTGTTACATAGCACCGAGACCTGGACTCTGATGATTGAAACGATCAATCACCTAGAGGTGTTTGAGATGTGCTTGCATAGGAAGATGCTCAGACTATTCTGGAGTTATTAAAAAAATTATTAAAACAAGAAAAATTTCATACTTAGGGCATCCTCTTAGGGAAGACCGGTACACAATTCTTCAGCTTATCATAGAAGATAAAATCGAGGGCCGCAGAGCAATTGGAATGAAACTCAAGAACATTCGCGATTAGACACAAATAAGCATCGCCGAACAACTATTTAGATCAGCTGAAGACCGTGAACAACTCGTCAATGTAATTGTCAACGTTAGGTGTACCTAATATGGCACCGAAAGAAGGCGACTTTCTTACGATATAATTTTATTATTATGTACCTCAACAAATTACGTGGGTACCCAAATTACTGGTTTATTAAAATTACTGCATTAACATTTGAGGCAAGAACATTTCATTCAAATAACTTTAAAATTCTTCATCACCAGTTATGAAACGTGCCACGTGTTATAAAATTATTATTAATTTTAAAATTGAGTATATTAAATACAGTTACAGTATACTAACTAAAATTTCCTAATCAAAAATATATTTTTAGTTTCTTGTAAATTAATCAAATTGCGAACAGTTATGCGCTGTTAGTTTGAGCCGGAATTTTCATCTGCCAAGTTGGTTATCTTTCCAAGATACATAAAAATCTATCTAAGATACATAAAAGCTATCTCTCTAAGATACATAAAAGCCAATAGATTAAGATGGGCAGGCCACGTGGTACGGAGTGATGACGACAGACTGATTAGCAATGTGTTTTGGGAAAGACCAGATGGTAAAAGATCGACAGGAAGGCCTAGAAAAAGGTGGAAAGACGCTGTCAGGGAAGACCTGGAGAAGATGGAAGTAAGGCCATGGGAAATAATAGCACAGGATCGGAATCAATGGAAGGCAATAGTAAACGCGGCAAAAACTCACGAAGAGTTGTAAAAGCTAATGATGATGATGATGAAGTTGGTTATCTCCGTATTTCTAGAAATGTCTGTGTCGCGTTTACTCTACAATTATTGTTCTTATGTTAAGCAGTGTTGGACACACACACACACTAACAAGTTGGACAAGAGTGAATCAATAAAGAAGGTTGCTTCAGATTTAGGTATTGTAGAAGTAACTGTTGGAGTTTAGAAGCGTAAACGGAATGAAATCGAACAGCGGGTCAACCGAAGTGTGAGTGGTGGAAGTGGATTGGCTCCAAAGATCATGAACAAATTTCAGAGGAGTTGTCCTTGTGGTTTTCACAAATAAGAGGATTGGGCAGCCCGATAAGTAGTCCAACACTCCAAGCAAAAGCTATTGAATTCCACACAAGAAGTTTATGGATGGAGGAGAAAACTAGTGTGCTAGTGAGGGATGGATTGACACATGAAAGAAGAAATATAGTATCTGACAATTGAATCTTCGTGGCAAAAACTTTTTGAGACTCAATTAAAATTGCAACATTTTATTAAAAATTACAAGAAACTATCCTTAAAGCTGGATTGACTTCAGACCAAATATTCAACTGTGACGAGGCATGCCTTAATTTTAAAATGCTTTCTTGGAAAACACTAGCTGCTAAAAATTAAGGAACTGCACCAGGTTACAAAAAAAGCAAAGAGAGAGTCACAATCATGATCTGCAACAATGCTTCTGATTCATTAAAATTAATATCTCTTTTAATAGGAAAATTCAAAAATCCAATGGCATTCAAAAATATTCAAGTGAATTGCTACAACCTATAAAAACCATGAATTGATTAGTGGCCACATAAGAGCTGTGGATATTTCACCCAATATGACGTCTTTCATCCAACTCCTAAATCAAGGCATTATAGAAGCAATGAATAGGAATGATCGGAGGAAGCTTCTATAGGTACTGCTAAACAGACTGGATGAAGGGCTGACTTTAATTAACGCATTTAAGAAGATAGCGGTTATTAAAGATGTTTGTTATTGGATTGCATCTGTATTGGACGACGTAAAAGTGTCTAATATTCAAAAATCATGGAAAAAATTATTTTAGAAAGAAAACAAAACACCGAATCTTATAATAAACTGATGACTGTGAAGTAACCTATAGCTAACCTAGCCAATCGGAAACAGACGTCATCGATTTGATGAAAGAGATGAAGAAATGAAACTGACAGTTGACGCAATTGTCAATCTAGTTCTAAACATCAACCATGAAGAAGAAGAAGAAACACATAACATAACTCCATAGATTGCTCATTCCGAAGGGTTTTAGGCCTTTGAAGTTGAAGCACCTCTCGCATACAGCAAGCAGCAAGAGGAATCGACGCCAGTAGGTGTACTTCATTTTCAACGTTGACGCAACTTCGCTGCTTTAAAAAGAAGAATGAAGCAACGACTTTTTTAAACAGTGATATTGATAAGGTAAATGTTTTTATCTTCATTAAAATAACCACAGTTATTGTTATTTACGTCTTTTTCTACCAGTACAACCACCCTCGGTGTTAACCGAGTTTTTTGGTATCCGAGGTAGTGACGGTCCCAATTACCTCGGATAATCTCGAGACTACTGTATAGCTTTCTTATCGCGAGTACAGAAGAAATGAATTGATTAGTGCGTTAGATCGCGCAGAGATAAGAAAAAATAAAAACGACTAAGACACTTCGCGCGACCACATATTACGTGTAGTAGTAAACGCAGGCCCATTCGTGATTCTTAATAAAGTAAAATAAATTAAAATATAAAATAAATACTACCACCTACTCGGGCCAGTCGAAGCAACTGCAAACATAGACCAGGCACACAACACATAGTATAAACTCATCCATCATCGAGAAGCCGATTTAGTCAAGAACGACTATGTTTCTCGCAATAGTAGACGTAAGGACTAATTATTTGTTTAATTAATTCTATTTAATACTGTTAAACGGTACTCACCTGTAACTTCTTTTTGCACATACTAATGGTGTCAGTAGAATAAACGGACAGTTTAACATCTGAACACGAATGGGACAGTCTCAATTTTAAAACAGTCTCGGTACCACCGTCTACCGGTTCTGAACACTCTGCAGGTGAATCTCGACCATTGTCTTCTTTCACAATATTGATAGGATACGAAAGGCAATAGATAGGAACCTGATACCGCGCACCCAACTCATCGTAACACTCCGTCAGGTACCCGTTAGGCACCGATACGCTAGCTCCGTCGAGAATAGCTTGAGCTAACTCGTAATCCATGGCTTCGGCTGCCACCGCGGCAGCCCTGAGGGCGTCCCATATTTCGCGACGTCCCTCGAAGGCCGGTGCTGTGTCCCAGAATTCATCTCGTTTGCTTCGAAGTTGTCCTTCCGTTAGGGGTACGTCAGATTTCCATCTGATCGTTTCATGGCACAGAGGGTGATTCTTTCGTTGACTACCTGTAACAGAAAGGACTTTCAATAAGATGTTGTTGTGGCACCAAAATTGGGACGAGGACTTCAAGAAGCTCCTAACTGACGAAAACAAAAATGTGACAACCGCCTGTTGCCTCTAGAATTGCCATTAGTGGGGTAAAATAAATATAAACAACTTTGAAAAACGGAAAAACTCCTTGACCGAGAAACATTTCAGCAGAATTAATAGTAACAAGTTCTGAAAAAGTCTTGTAACGACTCTGCAAGACACGTACGCTACAAATGTTGTTTATACCACAAAAAAGTTATTGGCTGCTTGCATGATCGAGAAACGATACGATTATACATAAAATATCTGAACTGGAGTGTAGAAGATTGTAGAAAAGTGTTGTCCTCAGATGAAAACAATTTTTTTGTGCAAGGTCAACGATCTTGTTTTGAAATGAAAAACTTATAATTGACACAAGACTAATAAATAAATACAATAGCAGAGATTTCGAAAAAAAAAAACAATCAATTAGTCTATTACAGAGATACAAGATGAAAACACCATTTACAAATATAATACCCATATAAACCCTTTTTACCAAAAGAATTGGATAATTTATATATGATCTAATAAAAGAATTTTACAAAATCCATACTGTAATTCATATTTATTTCAAAGAAATCTTGTTAATATCAAAACAACTTCAACCACTTAATTACATTTAATAGGCATATTAAAACTTAGTTGTTGATTTAGATGTAACACAAAAAGTATAACCACATTATGGTATCACCAAAAAGTAAAAATAGAAGAGACATGCAGCAGCATCATAATTTGTATACCTTATCTAGTAATATATTTACTAAACATGTGATAATTTCAGTGTGTAGTATTTAACGTGATTCATGTAAATACTGTATATTTTAAATAAAATGACCACTTCTATCTTCAAATGAGTGACGTAAAGGGTGTTAAAATAAAGGAGCAGCAAAAGAAATGGATTTTTCACAATTTACATACATGGCATGTTGAGAGATGAAGTATAAAAAAGTGGGTGTATATTCTGGAGTCAGACTTTGTAATGGCGCCATTTAAAGTTCAGTTTTCAGAGATGGACATTATCCTGCGATGAATAACTAAATTCTATACCTAGGGGGAACAAGATGTACCATTGAAAAAGACTCCAAAAATTTCATATTTTGGAATCTATGGCTGTAAATTGAGATCAATAAAACTTATGGAAAAGAAAAAATAGAAAAGGTATCTCTACTCCTAAATAAAATACTCAATAATGAATACATAATAATTGTAAATTACTGCTTAGAAGACCAGACAAGAAAGACTAATCTCATAAGTTGCATTAAATAATTACTCTAGACTCTAGAGAAAGCAAAGTCTAACCAAATACTCCACTGACCCTCCCGGTTGGTAATTGGAATGATGGACTGTACTTCATCTCCTACAAAAATATTTAAGTAAGTGGAAAAGACATTACACCACTTCGTAACACAGACAGAAAATTAATCAGTCAATGAAAATGGATTATGAATTGTGGAACTTGGTATGCACAAGGAATCTAATACAATGAAACGGGCAATTACATGCATTAACACAGAAAAAACAATACAAAACTGCAAAATCTGATTTTTAACATTGGTCCATAACTACAGGGACAGTACAGTAACACCAACATTAACTGCCGGTAGACAAAAATTATAAAATAAATAATTAAAGAGTACATGCAAAACGAAGAACCATCAATTGAATCATATATTCAATTGAAAAGGAAATAAAGGTAGAAGCCTCCCCAAACATGTAGAGACCTAGAGAAAGTATATTACAGATGACTGTTGATAAATCCACAGAAAGCTGTAGAAATATAAGCTAATTAAATCTAGTAAAGAAATATATACAAACACACTAATAAACATTTAAAGATGAAATTACTTAAGTAGCCACAGGCTTTTATGTAAATAAAGGCCTCAAATGTAGATGACCTATAACCCAACATTATTCAAAATAGATATATAGACTATAGAGTAACAAATGGGAAGAAAAAAATTTCATGGAATGGGTCTATGTGATGACTTAGAATACATAATAAGGAAACTAAAAAAGAAATGAATAGAAAATATCTGTGTACATCTGTGAATAAAGGAAGAATCAATGGATCTGATTTTAGGAAATGACTGCAATGAAAAAATAAAAGGATGTGAGAACCATGCACTAATGAATAAAGAATGATCGGATAGACTGGAAATCAAGGAGAAAAGTCACTAGTGGGGAGGAGTAAGCAGATTAAATTGTATATAGTGTCACAAATATATCAGCCAAAGAATGAAAACATGTGCAATGCAATTGTAAAGAGTATCACACTCTATAATGCACATTTTGAGATTGTAAGCATATCATCAAAGTTAAAAAGAGAATTATAGAGGGCATGAAAGGGGACAGCTAGAATGGTATGGACACTTGGTCCGAATGGAAGAAAAGTACCAACTAATGCAGCATGGAAATGAAAGCATCCAGAGAGAAAAAACATCAGAAACTGTGCCATGAGCACGAGAAACTTGGATGAGAAAATGTGCCGAACATAGAGAATAGACAGCGACAAGCAGCGTTATAAACCATTTATACAGGGTGGCTGGATGAAAAAGAAACAGAGACATTATCAGGAACTGCATCATTTTTGAAAAACCCAGTGACATACAGTTTTTTTATTAAAGAGGAACACATTTTCTGGTATTTTCAATTATCTTACTTTGAGCCTTAAATCGGGATAAGTATCAGTCCAAGATTTTAATGGCAATGAGGCTTAAATAAGATATTGTTTTAAAGCTTTGCAATTACCTAAATTAAGTTTCGATTATGATTAGTTGGCTATAAACCATCCTTATAGAAATTTTATTAAATCTGTAAAAAGATATGCTTACGCTGATATATACATTAACATAATACTCTTATGACAAACATACAAAAACTTCAGACTTAGATATACAGAAAGCAATAAAAGCTTAATAAGAAAACGAGGGAAACATTATGAACAAAAATTACTTTGATTGCCAAAGTAATTTTTGATAGTGAAATCCAAAAGTATATCTTCTTCACCAGATACCATTGTTTTTAAGCATTCATACATGTCTCAAGATGTTTCTTTCAAATGTAACTTATTGGCTTTCTTCACTTTTATACAGTGTCCAAGGTGTAAGATACATCATAGAATATCTGTCATTTTTGGAAGTCATATGGTGTTATACCTGGTCATACTGTAGTCAATTGGTACATTGTCCATCTTCCATTTGTGTATCCTTCTATCTAGTGTTTTAGTGTTCACAACTCCTTATGTAGCTGGAACCTACATCTTTATATTATCTCTGAACCATAGTGGTGGTTCTGTTAAATTAGAGATTGAAAATTTTCTGATTTCTGTGCCAGGCTATGCTGTTTGGTAAACCAGTATCAATGAGCCAGTATTATTGAGCTAATATCAGTCTTAAGATTTTATATACTTGGCATTTCATTTTCTTGAGATCTTGTCCTATCCTATTGTTGGGTTTCGCAGATTCTTATTTCCTCACATGTATTTTTTACTCACATGTATGCATTTTTTAGTTTGATCAATTTTCATGCCAGTCTTTTGTGCAGTTCATTCTATCAGATTAAAAGATTTCCTTATCATTTCTCTCCTTGATATTGTGATTACGTTAACATCACTTGTAAAAGCTAGTATTAGCACATGCTGAATAGTATCCATGACAAGGTGTCTCCCATGGCATCTTTTTCACATTTATTGTGTCCATTATTTTTTTATATCCAGATTTTACTTAGTGTATAAAGAAATGGTGTGCTCACTTGTTTTGTAAGGATCTCACATATAATAAAGATATAGTCTGTTCTAAGGATTTCTGCTTAGTTGTAAAAGACATGTCGTGGAATGCAAATTTTAGATTCCCCATGTCTCTTTTAACATCTTTTATCAACGTCTGTTTGCCTTGCAATTCTTAGAAGGCTCAGATTATAAAGCGGAAATCTGAATTGTGTTTCAAAACTATTTTACGATTGTTTTCGAAAATATTGATTTTTCACGTTGAGAAGCCCTATGAATAGCTCTTCTGACGAGACCTATTAGGTCGAAATACGTATCAAGAGATACATAGGATTTGTTTGCGTGAAATCAAATATTTGCTGCCTTTTCTCATTTTCTCATATAGTCTGTTGTTGACCTTTGTCTGCCATGTTGAGATTTGCCAATTGTTACAAACTGCATCTTAATCTTTCATAAATTATGTTGGATGTTTTCCATATTTTGTATGCTATATTAAGCAGCATGATTCTCCAGTAACTTCCAAATTCCGACTGGTCTCCTTTTTTATGTAATGGTCTAATTAATTATATCAGCATTTAGCATTTATCAGTTACTGCTTGTTCACCCCTGTATTTATTGCTAGCTCACACTTTTCGTGTTAATGAGTTACTTAATCACCTCAGATGTTGTTTGGTCTGACTCAGTCCTTAATTATTCTTTGATGTCTGTCTTGCATATATCAGTCTTTTTATTCTATATCATAAGGTCCTAAATCAGTTGAATTATTGTAAATTTTAATTTAAACATTTTCCTTGATTTGATGTATTCTCCACTGTTGATAGATTATTTTTAGTTTATTGGTTGATTTTCCATTTAAATATTTCGAAATAAATCTTTCGGGACTTTGTTTAATCAACCTATTGTCTTTATCCTTTTTTTCATTTTACACACATACCCTAAACAGCTACAGATAAGTCCTTTGATTCACTACATATTTATTTTCTTAAATTTCACCTGTTAAGTCTCTATTGTGTTTTTGTAAATGACTGCTATTATATTTATTATATTCTTTTACCTAACAAAAATATTGCAATTATAACAATACTTCAAAACAATATAGATAATAAATACAATGGGTTTTTCCTCATTACCCTATACTTATAAATAATAATTTATCTCATAATTTAATTAATACATCAGACCTGTTTTAAAACAACCACATCACAAATTTTGTACAGTTTACAAAACTGTAATTCTTTATAAAAAATCGTAAAGAACTACAAACCATCAACTCAGAAAATAGAAAAAAAAACAATAATAAAAATTGTATCACCAATAACAAATAATGAATTAGAAAGGAAATTACTTTCATACTTTATCATGAAAAGTACTTATTGGACAATATGTTGAATAATTAAGGAAAAAGGGTTATTTTTCAAATCAACCCTTAAAATATAAACTTTTATAAAAAAACTGTTTAAACCGAAAATACTGAAATAAAAACTTTCACTTTTACTAACTTTAAAATGAAACAAACTAATACATTTATACTTTTTTAAAACAAGTTTAATATGGTTTGTTCCTGTTAGGTATAATCATTAGAAAAGGTCTATAAAGGTTATTAAACTACCTGAGTTGGGTCGGCTTATTGACCCTGAAGAATCGTCGATAGCACCACTTCTACTACGCGTTATACCTATGCAACCTCCCATTGCGATAATTTCGTACATAAAGTCATTTCATTGCTTTTAATAAATGTTGTTTTTTCGTAAACAATCACGAACATTTTCCACCCATCATACACTCACAGCCTTTCAACAAATGACAAAATTGTGACGTGCGACGTGCTTGACATTAACATCAATATACTGTCAAGTCAATTCAATCAACAGGAATACCAACAGATATTCTAATACTTGCTCACTTATACAAATTTCATTGTGGAGCATCTTTTAATTAATCTTAGATCAAGCTAAATAACACATGATATAGGATTGATAAGATTGTTTAATTTATTCAACATTTATAATTTATAATGAATTGAATTGAATTGAATGGCATAAATACTTATGTGATGTGTATAGTGTGTTGCATACTATTAAGAAGAGAAAAATTATCGTTGCAGCTACACCAGATACAATAAAATAAACTATAAAACAATTAGAAATTAACAAATAAATATAGAAAAGCTATTATAAATTACTGTAAACTCTAGTAAACCAGTATAGAATGTCTGGTAATATTAATCAAAGTTTGATAGAAATCATCTATTTATAGAAGTCAAACCAATTTAAAAATTAAGATAATAGTTTGATAATAGTGACAATGTTTTTATGTTAAAATTAATTATATTATATACGTATTAATGAATTACAATTAAACTATGGTATTTTATTTAAAGGAAAATTCAGATGTTATATAAATATGCAACATGTTTTGATGTAAATATATCCCTTTTTATTGTAAAAAAAATACAAATTATGTATTGGTCTGAAGCTACTTTCTTGAGGCATTTTATATTTTTATTTATATTTAATGGAAATCACCCAGAATTTCCCTTGAAATACATTTATTTTGTTTCGATTAAGTTGTGTTTTCACCTGAGGTGGTTAATTTCTATTAAATATAGTAAATTACATAAATTACGTTAAGCTAATTTTTCAATGGCATTGTGATTATGCTTTTAAATTTTATTCTGCTTTTGTGTTACTTTAAAAGCTATAATTCAAATAAAAACAAAAAATTTACGCTGCGGACAGGATTCGAACCTGTGCGGGCAGAGCCCAATGGATTTCAAGTCCATCTCCTTAACCACTCGGACACCGCAGCTACAATCTCAAATATTTTAAGAACATATCTTAGTAAATTGAAAACAATGTTTTATTTTAATTTTATAAAAATAAAATTTATTGTAATAATACCATTGTAATGATACAATAAAAAAGAAAAGAACTCATGACCTACACTACAAAGCTATGCTGGTAAAGTTGAAATGTTTAAACGACATATTGTATTATATACATTATGCAGCCCACTTCGTAAGTACTGCTACATGGTTGACTGTATCTCAGGAGCCAGGTGTAAATTTGATTCAAATACTTTACTGATCACATTCTATTATTTCAATAGAAATAAAATTGGTTTCGAAATTTCGAAATTGTTTGTAAATATAATCTGTCTCACATTAAGTTTATAGATATACTCCATTCGCTTAGCTCGGTCATATTTCGACAGATTCATTGTCGGAAACCTACAACACAGCAATCTTTACTTATATATACCAAAACTATGACAACAATTCCTACTTCTCAGTATTAATAGCTCTACTATTGCAGACTTCTTTCTTTGAAAAAATAAGAATTAATATAAATAGTGGAAGTGCGTACTACGAACCGTGTAGGTACTAAACCACGGTTCCTACTAGTAAGTCTAGGAACCGTGGGTTGTAGGTAATTCACAAAGTTCTATTTTATTTACTATTTAGCTTGTTTACTATTAATATTGGCTATGAGTACGTGTGCTTGGTTTTATGGTAATTTCCAGCCACTTTTAGTCTGTCGGAGAGTAACGGAGTAACTAACTTCGCAAAAAAATAATTACTAAATTCACTAGACGTAGACAGTTCGGACTGGGAATAGCGAACCGAGTAGGTATATTAGCTCTTCACAAACTAAGTAAAAAATATGTAATATTTACTAAAAATTGGATACAGTTAATATTGTTTGGTTAAACGTGATCTGGTAAAAATATCTAAAGATATTGCAACATTTAAATGTTTTATTATTAAAGTTTTATGTATTAAAAATTAAACATAATATTAGGACAGGAGTTGTTTATGTCGAATGTTAGTATACTTTTTCCAAAGTCAATTTTCCAAGTGGCGGCTTTTGAGCTTCTTTGATGCAAATGCCGACCATTGGCGTGGAAATTAAGAAAAGGGATCAGTTCATCAAACGCATATTTCAAGAAAAATCATAATTTTTATTAATTTTTACATAATTATATTCAGGAAAATTTTTTTTACAGAACAATTTTTTAAACAAATTCAAAATATCACCTTTTGTGCTCCAAAAAATATTTTTTAGGTTTTTGGATGACTCTAAATAAGATCTATGTCATTTTTCTCAAAAGTTAATAGTTTTGGAGATATAGGCGATTTAAAATCCGAAAAATGCGATACCTAATATGCATTTTCGAGGCTTGAAAAATATGTAAATGAGTATTTTTGAGATTCAAGAGTATTTAAACTAAAGTCTCGACATTGATTTTGGTGAGAAATTGGGGTAATATTTTCCGTAGCAGAAAAAGGAGATCTTTTGAATTTGAATTGTTTCCTGCAAAAATGTCCGGCACCCTTCAACCTTCGATTTGTTTAAACGCGGTATTTTTGAATAGGAATCTTCAAAGGACAGAATCAGTTTTTTTTTTCAAATGTGAGCGGGCTCACAACATCTAATAAATAACAAATTAATTCTTTCAAATTAAAGCTTGTTAATTTTAGTGATTTATAAGAATATTGGACTTATTATTTAGTTTTTACATAAACCATAATATTTTTTTACAATTATCTGTAAATAATGGTTCATTCTGTCAGAAAATTTTAAAAGATTGTCTATCCAGCAAGGACAGAAAATCTCAAAATATTGTCTGTCCAGCAAGGACCACGAGGAGGTATGAGCCTTCCTTGCCAGGAAAGGAAAGGGTTAGGTATGTTAGTAAGAATATAAAGTTAGTTTTTTTTTCATTTTGTTTTTATTATTTTTTTTTTTGTTTTTATATTTTTTTTTGTTTTTTGTTTTTTTTTTGTTCTGACTCTATACAGTGTGTCGCATTTAAGATGAAGATACCCCTATATTTCGGCTATTAGAATAAATACCAATTTGAAATTTTGCACAGTCATACAGGTTGTCAATTCACATTTTTTAAGATAATCAACTGAAATTTAATTTTTAAACACGGCCTACTGTTAATGCACAAACAGAGTGAATCTTCAATATTTTGCTTCGAGTTAGAGATATCGGAAAAAGTTATTTGGAAAAGATGTTCCAAATATTATTATAACCCCACATAACAAAGTTTTATGTCAAAATTCGCACTTTTACTTTTTTCATTAATTGAAGAGCTTATTTCCAGTGTCTTAAATCCAAAATTTCGATTTTTTTAATTTTCTTTTTTTAAACTTTATAGATTTCTTCAAGTCTAAAATAAAGTTATATGTACCAAAACAACTTCTTATTTGCCATTTAAAAGTGCATATGAAAATTGTAAAATTGTATAATTTGTATGTTAAATTTGTATGAAAATCTGTAATTTCATGGATTTCATTATATGGATTTAAGACACTTTGGAAATAAGCTCTTCAATTGTAGTCAGGATTCTAAAACGGACAGTTGGCTGTCCCGAGATGCATCTTTAGACAGCCAATTGTAGATTTAGGATCGAGATTACAAATAATACTGAAAAACTAAAATTGCGAATTTTGTCATGAATTTTGGAATGTGCGGTTACAATAAGTGGAATAACTTTTCCAAATAAGTTTTTCCGATTTCTCTAACGCGAAGCAAAATATCGAAAATTTACCCTGTTTGTGGATTCGCAGTAAGCCGCGTTTAAAATTTAAATTTCAGATAACTAACTATCTTAAAAATATGTGCACTATCAACATGTATGACTGCAAAATTTCTAATCTGTATGTATTTTGATAGCTGATATATAGAGGTGTCTTCATCTTAAATGCGACACACTGTATAATAATGAATACTAGTGTTCAAGATGCATCGCGATAGCTGTAAAGAAATTAATTAGAAGGACTAAAAAGAATCGTCAGAGTCTTCTGAAGTCGAATCGTTCCCAGGTTGTATAACTATTGGTGCTATTGCCGGTAAAACAGGATATTCATTTTCTATTTTTACAACATGAGCTTCGCAACTTTTCCACACATCGCTATTAATGCCACTAATTACTTCTCGAATATTCTCAATGGCCACTGCGCTTAATGTTGGTGACTGATTATATTTTCGCAATCGTTTTTTTACGGTACCCCAAACCATTTCAATTGGATTAAAAATGCAATAGTATGGAGGTAATCGCAAAAGAGTATGGCCGTGCCTGCTGCAAATGGTGTCAATAACGTATTCGTTTTTGAAATTCCGACTTTTGATCATTCTAATTAATTCTTTTTTTACTGGAATCTTTTTAGGAACAGTGATATTTTTAAGTTCCATAAATTTTAAAATTTCGTCCTTTTTCGTGTTATTATTAGGTATTTTATTTAATATGCGGGAATGATACGACGCATTATCCATAACAATCACTGAATTCGGCGGAATATTGGGCAAGAGTTGTTCAACAAACCACTTTTCAAATAAATCGGCTGTCATATCTTCGTGATAATCGGCAGAAGACTTTGTTATATTTTTGGCCGACAATAGCAATGCATTAGATACAAAACCATCTTTGCTTCCGGCATGAAGAATAATAACACGTTTTCCTCGTGAACAGGGTGTATTTAATGCACACTTGTTTGTGTTGTCAACCCAGCCGTACTTGACAACATCATGCGTATCGAACCAGGTTTCATCTAAATAGATTATGTTTCTGTTTGAATTACGATACTGTTTTATTTTACTCAAATACTCTCGTCGAAGTTCAACAATACGCCGAGATTCCATTATTACCATTCGATTATCTAATTTCTTATATTTAAATCCACAACTTATCAAAATCTCGCGCAGTGTTTCCAAAGATGTATAATTATATTCAGGGAAATCTCTCAATTTTTCACGAATCAGTTCTAAAGTAGGCACTCTA